TACCAATGAGCAAAGAATAGAGTCCCTTAAATGATAATTTATAGTTTATAAAATAATTTAAGAATTTTCATTTTTAATCTTAATTTCACTGAGTTATCCATAGCAATTAGCAATAGCCAATTTACTAAGATTATTGTTTTAATTTTAGATTTGAGCCCTATGAATTACTGGTGTGATTGGAAATTTCTGTGGTACTCCAGCTCTAATTGCTTTTTTTCAATTATCCAATTAAAACAAACTGTATTTTACATTAATTAATTCTCATAGATCAATTTTATTTTTTTAGTTTTTAAAAAATTTTATGCGTATGAGTGTATTGCCTGCATATATGTACATGCACCCATGTCATGCAATGCCTGTGCAGGCCAGAAAAAGGCGTTGAAGTCCCCTGAAACTGGAGTTAAGGAAGGTTGTTAGCTACCATGTAGGTGCTGGGAATCAAACCTGGATCTTCTGCAAGAATAGCCAGTGCTCGTAATCACTGAACCATCTCTCCAGCCCCTATTCTCTACTGTCTTATTAGAGCATAATAACGTAAGTTTTGTCAGTAATAAACTAAGGTCAACTTCATTCTTATAATTAGCTTTCAAAGCTGCAAATCAAAAATTGTCAGCTTCTTTTGTAAAGTGCAGTACTGCAGTAAATTCTAACAGTCACTTTTGATAAATGCACAATATTTATAATTTTCTTTCATAAATTACATGCTCTGATTTTCATAATAATTGGAAAACTAGTCTATGGAATGACAGTTACAAGTGCTACCATGCTTCTCTCAGAGAGTAACACACAAGTATCAAAATAAACAAATAACAAATTGAAAAACACTTAGATTTTATTCATTTGTACATGAAAAATTTCAGCTTTTGATAACAGTAATGCAAAACAAGCCACAAATTTTTCAAACATTTTCATTAATTTTATTTCTTTTTTATAATTAAAAACCCTCACCTAAATGAAGTTAGCTTAAATTAATCAAAATTGTAATTATAATTTAGTAACTAATGCTAGTAAAATATTATGCAATCAAAACTAATGGGCTCTAACCATAGTCTAACTGTGAGAGAAAGGCATGATCTAGAAAATTTACTTCTAAACACAAAAGAACAAAAAAAGTCTTTATTCCTCAAAGTAGAATGAGAAAGGTAAAATCAACACAACCAAAGAATGAGAAACACAACCACCAAAGTTAAATTAATATAGCCATTATACTATTTTCAAAATTAGTTTGATAATTTGAAGGGTTATTATTGGGGAAGTGGCTAAACAAATCAGTATTAATCAATTGGGGAAATCTGAACATTGCCAAGAAAAAAATTGAACAATATTTAATTCCATGTTTTTCTGATCATTAATCATAAAAGCTGAAGTACAGGACAGGGACAAGTGTGGCTTGGTGGCTTTTCAGAGGCAACATCTGAGCTGTTTGCCAGGTTCTCCTCCCACGTGAGGGCTTCCAATAGAATAGAAATCAACCTATTTCATACATTAACATTTTTACTCTGCCTTTAAAATTACATAAGGTTAAAGTGGCCAGTTTCATCATCTCTATATCACAGAATGAGTGTACAGACTGGACAGAAGTGGGACCTTCGACTTACTTATTCAATCTCAGTTTTGGTGCCAGAAAGGGTAGAGACGACTAACTGAAGACTTCAGATGCTAATGAGAACCCACTGAATGACACTTGGCAGCTCTTGCCAGTCAGTTCATGTGACAGAGACTGTTTTAAGAGTGTTCTTAGGACACCTAGTGTGATGACACATGCCTGTGATCCCAGTTCCCAGGAGGCAGAGGCAGGTGAATCTCTGTGGGATCAGTGGTTCAGCAACTGCATTATCATGTATAAGTTCCCAAGTTTAGTTCGCAGTACCACCAAAGAAAAGTTGAAAGTTTTGTAATTGTAATTGTAAAGCAGAAAGGAAATAAAAGGTTTTCATTTGAAACAGTATCTCAATAGTGATTCTCTCTTCCCTCCACCCCCCCTCCACTGGGCAACATCCCTAGCCCTTATAACATCTCTTACAGAGCTCAAGTACCAGTATTGGAAAGACCATGCCCCCCATTGGAATATTTACACAAAGTTACAGAGCAGGGATCCTGGATGTGGCTAGGAAGGTTCCCATCACCACACTCACTGCAAGAACACTTTCTATTCATAACTTAATGAAGTGAGCAGTGCAGAAAGACAAGGAAGGATCAGCTGTACTAAAGAGCAGACTGTGAGAGACTAGATGAAATACAGATATTCAAGGTATATATGAAATAACAGACTGTAATGTAACCTTACAAAATCAGTAGAGAAGGAAGCAGATCCTTCTTCTCCCTACTTTGGATCCATTAAAAAGACAGAAAAGGTAAATTTCCAGAAACAAAGGTAGGAAAAAAAAAAATTTAACAAACAGACCAACCAACTTTATGAAGCAGATGCCAGAAAAATACTGTCTGCTTCTCAACATTACATACTATGATGGGGCAAGGAAGGACCAGGTCCCCAGAGAAGCTGGAAACACTCTGCTGGAGAAAGCAGAAAACACTGCACATCCATGACTCCAAACTCCACCCCCAAGAGAGGAAACCCAGAGAACCACAGAACCACACAAACACCTTATGGAAGCTAATCTGAACAGAAACTCAAATTAATAATACATAGACACAAGCAATCTGAGCCCTGGTGAGATGAAAAATTCTAGCTGCAAAGAAAAACAGAAGTTGGGGAAGGACCTCCAACACTGAAATTCAAGCAGGGAAACTGAGACCACCCATCACACTGGGGAAAAGGCTCTGGGTGGCAACACTCCTCACCAAGGCAGGTTGAACTCTGAAGAAAACACGGCAAATTTTAATCCCACAGGCAACCTGCTTCATCTCCACTGAGCCTCTCCATACCCATCACTCTGGACAATCAGATTTGAACTGCAGATGAGAGTGAGCAGTCTCACCAGCAGAGTTAAAAGCCTCTTCTCTGGCAGGAGAGGACTTTCCCTGATGCTACCGGCAAGGAAGGAATTTGAGCTGGTATTTTTATTTACTTTTCGGTCACCTTGTTGTAATCGTTAGTCTCGCATAGTTGTGTTTTAGTTTTGTATTGCTTTAGCAGGTTTCGCCACCTACATCTACTGCACTCTCTCAGTTATCTCTTACTCACAGCCCTGTTTTCCCTCCCCACTTCACTTTATCATCTTCTCTCTCCCTATTCCATCCCCTATGCATTTCTTAATTATGATCTTCTATAGCTTCAGTAATCTTTTACTATTATTATTAATTATTATTTTATGTATGTGAGTGCATTGCCTACATGTAGTTAGCCAGTGGAGGTCAGACGAGGTTACTGAATGCCCAGGAACTGGAATTACTAAGGTTGTTAGCTGCCATGTGGGTGCTGGGAATCAAGCCTGGGTCCTCTGCAAGAGCAGCCAATGCTCTTAACTGCTGAGTCATCTCTCCAGCCCCATTCAGTAATCTTCAGGGTGTGTTTACCATGACAATTTCCCAACTCTTTTCTCTTTACTTGTCCCTCCTTTACTATTTCTTCTTTGCTTCTATACGAATTCCTAGTCACACTCAACTTATAAATTTTAATCTTGTCCTTAGTAACTAACATTCTAAATATAGTCACAATCCTTGTGCCTTTAGTCTCCAAAACTTATTGGACTTAAAGGAGATACCTGTTTTAACTATTACTGAGTTTTCTTAGAAGCCTCTATCAGTAGGTAATGCTGTACTTTTGCAGTGATGCTGGAGACTGTGCCCGGTGGTTGAGCATGTGGGTTATACCACACTCCCAATCCAGAGGGGAGGAGGGGCAGCACTTTAACCCAGTACAAGCTGTCCTAGAACACTGCAAAAACTTCAACTGAAAGAATCAGAGTGACAAAACACACAGTGACCCAATTCTAGATGGGCAAATATCAACAGAACAGAAGGAAATGATCATGGTAATGTGGCACCTCCAAAAATTACTGATTTTAAAGTATTTGATTATAAAAAGAGAGTAAATTGAATGCAATATCAGACAAAGAATTCAAAAGAATGATAAGAATGTGGAACGAGATCTAAGAGGTCTTGA